ACACACACACACACACACACACCCTCTCTCTCTCTCTCTCCACACACACACACACACACACACACACACACACACACACACACACACACACACACACACACACACACACACACACACACGATCAACGGGTGCAGACTGAACTCATCGGCAGGAAGCTCGACTTTCCCGCCGCTCCGGTAACCAAGACACACGCGTCGCTGGCCGCACCCGCTGCCGTGACCGCCACGCCCGATGCCGTGACCGCCACGCCCGACGCACCCGCTGCGCCCGATGCGTCGGCGCAGACTGCCAGTCCCGCCAAGGCCACGACGCCGCGGAGCAAGACAAAGAAGCAGAAGAAGAGGAGCAGCAAGGCGGGGAGCAAGGCAAAGTCCCGGTCATCGACCGTCGAGCTGCCGGCAGGCGAGGAGGCACCCGAGGGCTGGGCATCGTGGTCCGACGCCAAGCGCAAGTCGTGGCTCCTCCGCGACGTCAACCCCAACGCGTTCTACTACCGCCACACTCCGCCTGGTGAGACCCAGCTGAACGGCAAGTGGTCCGACGAGGAGCAGGCTGTCTTCATGGCCGCTCTCGAGTGCCATCCGCCCAATGGCCACTGGGGCCTCTTCGCCATGCACATCCCGGGCCGCGTCGGCTACCAGTGCCGCAACTTTTATCACTATTTGCTCTCCACTGGTGTCCTCTCCGACCCGGACTACACCGATGCCAACGGCAACTACACCGCAAAGAAGGTGCGCGGCCCGCGCTCCGCCGCAAAGAAGCCGCGCAAGCCACGCAAGACCAAGGTCATCCGCCCGCCGCCCGTCGTGGCCGCAAAGCCCGGCACCCCAGCCTCGGTCGCCGCCGCAAACAGAACCGCCGCCGCAAAGGCCGCCGCTGCCGCAAAGGCCGCCGCCCGCCGCGCGCAGCGCAAGGCCGCAAAGGAGCGCAAGGCTGCCGCTGCTGCTGCTGCCGCTGCCGCCGCCACAGAGTCCGCCACAGAGTCCGCCGCAGAGCCCGCGCCGCCTACCCAGCCCACGTCCATGGACGAGGAACTCGATCTGGTGCCGGCCCCGGTCGCAGAGGCAGTCCCAGTCATCACCCTCAAGCGCAAGCGCGCCTCGCCCACCGTTGCCGCCCTCCACAGCCGCATGATCGAAGGCGACGGCATCGCTGCCGAGGCCGAGATCCTTGGCCAGGGCCGCCTCAAGCGCGGCAAGCCGCTGCCCTCGCTTGTTCCGGACCTTCCGCCGCTCCCGTCGCCGTCCGAGCTCCCGCCGCTTCCGGTCCTGCCCTCGCTCCCGGTCCTCCCGCCGCCTCAGCTTGGCCTCGAGCTCGAGCAGGCCGCCGAGCACTGCGTCGTCGAGAACAGCGCCACCATCCGCTTCGATCGCGCCACTGCCCACGAGCTCGCCCACCTCCTCGCCCGTCACCAGGACCAGCGCCTCGAGCTCATGCGCGCCATCACTGCAGAGCAGAACAAGTTTATCACCTTTTTCACTGCAGAGCTCGCCCGCGCCGCCGCAGCCGCCCCGGCCTCGGACGCCCGTATCCGCGTCCTTCGTGCCTCGCTCCGTGCAAAGTTTGACTCGATGGCCGAAGACATGCTCTCCAAGCAGCGCCAGGAGGCTCAGATGCTGGCCTGCTGGCAGCTGTGGGAGGCAAAGCATGCCCTCGGCATCTCCACCGCTTCTCCGCTCGACGCCCGCAACCCCTCCGCTGGCCTCGCCACTCTCTCCGTCTGCTTCCCCTTCCATCTCGTTGTCGTCGCCGACCACTAGCCCTTATCGGTGCGGTCGTGGAGGCGCGTTGTCTCGCGCGCCAAGTGAACAACACAGTACATAACCAGTTCCACTCGCTCAGAGCTAAGCAGCGATACACATCTCTCGTTCATTTCCCCATCACTCCTCGCATGACTCGTCCACGCGGGTAGACCGCGACGACATGTTCTCTTTCTCCAGCTCAAGGGACTTGCGGACCATCTGCAGCCGCTCAATCTGCCCCAGACTCTGCGCCGCAGCGCGCGCCTCGGCATCCTTCAGTGCCTCAAGCGCTGCCTGTGCCGTAGACGCTTCCGCCCGCGCCGCAACAAGCTCTTCGTGAGCTGTCGCGACTTCGGTCTCCAGCTCCACCACGCGCGCCTCGAGTGCTGAAACCTGCGCACCGCTCTCGGCACGCTCACTCGCGACGAGGGCATCGAGCTCGCGCAGCTGCGACTCGTAGTCGCCCGCTCGCCCCTCGGCTGCCATCTTGGCCTCGTGCAGATGCGCAACTTCGCCCTGGACCCGTGCCACTTCCATCTCGGCCCGAGTCAACTTGAGCTCCAGCGCCTCGCACCGCTCACGCGACGCCGCCAGAGCCGCATCCAACTCGCGAACCTTGTCGTACATGGCGCCCTCGTCGTCGGCACGCGCACGTGCCGACACCGTCGACACAAGCTGAGAGTGCTCGATCTCGCGGATGGCGTTCTCCATCTTCACCGTCGCCTCGCGCGCCGCTCGGTGCGCCTCGGTCTTGTCCATGAGCGCACGCTCCAGCGCTCCCCGGCTCTCGGCAAGCTCCGACTGCAGCTGTCGGATCGTCGCCGCAGACTGCTTCAGCTCGTAGCTCGACGACGTGTGAGCCTCTGAGAGCTGCTGTCGCAGTGTCGACGACATCTGGTCCACATGCGTGACCTTCTCGTGCCGCGCCTCCTCCAGCTGGGCCTCGAGCGTCTTAGCCTTGGCCTTTCCCAGCGCCTCGGCGGCCTGCACCTCGGCCTCGGCGCTCGCAACCTTGGACTTCAGCTCACCAACGAGCTCGAGCAGCTCTTCGTGTGCCTTCTCCAGCTCCAGCTTGCGGCCTTGCACCTCAAGGTGGCTCTGCTCCAGCGCGCTCTTGGACGCGTTGGCCGCCTCGAGCGATGCCCGCGTCAGGTCGAGCTGGGTCGCCAGCGACTCTTGCTCGCGCTGCGCCTCGCCCATGGCGTCGACAAGCGATGAGAGCTCAACCGCCATCTGGTGCTTCGTCCGCTCGAGATCAACCACCTTGGCCGACGCCGCAGACAACTCATGTTTGGCGCTCTCTGCCACGCCCTCCCACTCGTCTGCCTTGGCCCGGCTCCGCGCCAGCTCCTCCGCCTGCGCATCATGCCGGTCCTGCAGCTTCATCACCAGCGAGCCGAGCCGGTCACGCTCAGAGCATGCCTCGAGCGCCTCGCGCTTGGCCGCGGCCAGCGCTGCCTTTGCCTCGCCACACTCGCCCACCAGCGCGTCGTGGTCCTTGCGCAGGCCCAGCAATTCGCCCTCGGCACTCTGCAGCTGAGTCATTAGGCTCATTTTGGTGTCCAGCAGCTCCTCCAACTGGCCCGCGCCGCCGCCAGCTTGCTCGCTGTCTCGCGCTCGGCCGTCTCCGCCCGCGTCACAGCCTCTGTAGCCTTGGCCGCTGCGCCCGTCGCCGCAATGTTCTCCTGCTGCACCTTGTAAAGGTCCTTGGTCAGCGTTGCCAGGCGGTCCTCGAGCGCAGGCAGGCCAGCACGACGCTCGGTCTCGGCGTCGAGTCGCGCCACGTACTCGTCAATCTTAGCCTGCAGCGCCGAGTTGGTCGCCTCCAGCCGCGCCGTCCGCGTCGAGACTTCGGCGTCGGTCGATGCCCGCGCCGCGTACAGCTGCTCTTGCAGCGCCGCGACAGAGGCCTCGGCTGCCTCCAGCCGTGCCTCCCGTCGCGCTTGTTCCTGGCCCATCAGCTCGAGCTTGACCTGCGCCACCCGCGACGCCTCAACCTCGTCGGCCATGCCTGCCAACTGTGCCTTGGCGCTCACTAGCTCGGCCTGGACCAGTGCCAGTGCCGACCGTGCCTCGCGCGAGCTCTCGGCAGAGTCGGCCGCGTGCGACGCGTGCTTGGCGCTCAGGTCCATGTGTGCCGACATCGCGTCTACCTGTGACGCGAGGCTCCGCCGCGCACTCTCGGCTTCAGACACTCGGTCTTCCAGTCGGCTCTTAACCTCCTTGAGCGAAATGACCACAGACTTGAGTCGGGCGCACTTGTCGCGGAGCTCCGCGAGCTCAGCTTCGGCCGCCGCAAGCCGCCGCTCGGCCGTGGTCTCGGTCTCGCGGCGGGCGGCCTCCAGCGCCGCCTCGGCTTCCCGCTTCTCCAACACTGCGAGGCCAAGCTGCTTCTCGGTCTCGCGAAGCTCGGCTTCAAGCTCGGATGCATGCTCAGTCGCGCTGTCGACCATGCTCGTCATCTCGCTCAGCGACGCGCGCAGCTGTGGCAGCGCCGCCGCCTTGGCCCGCAGCGAGTCCAGCTCGCTTGCGCTCGGCATGCTGCTCAGCTTAGCACGCGCTTCCGCCAGCTCGACTTCCAGCCGCGCCATCCGCGACGGGTCGCTGCTCTCTCCGGCGCGGACTTGCAGCTGCGCGTCTGCGGCCTTGAGCTTGTCCAGCGCGTGACCTGTATCCTTCTCATATGCAGTCTGAAGAACCTTCAGCTCGGTTTTCAGCTCTGCCACCGCCGCCTCCGCCGCGCTAGCCTTCTTGCGCGCCGCCTTGAGCGCCTTGGCGTTGCGCGATGCTAGTTGTGACTTGGCCTGCAGCTGCAGCGAGAGTTCGCGATTCGTTGCGTCGGCCTTCCGCAGCGCGCGTCGTGCCTTGGACAGCTCGCCCGCCGCCTTTCCGCGGTTGCCCTCAGTCGCCTCTAGCTGTGACTGCACCAAAGCCGTCGTCGCCTCGGCGTGCTCCACACGGCTCTCGAGCGCGTTCTTCTCAGTTAGCGCCTTGCGCAGCGCGCCCTGTGACTCCTGGAGCACCAACCGGAGCTCGGCAAGCTGGTTCAGCGCCGACTCGGCCCGCTCGGCCGCAGCGTCGCGCGCAAGCTCCGCGTCGGCACACAACTTCTCAGCGGTGTCAAACGTCCGCGACCGGCGGTTGAGCTCCGCGCGCAGATCACCAGCCTCGAGCTGAAGTGCATCAAGCGCAGCCTTGGTCTCGTCAAGCCTCGCCCGGGTCTCATCGAGCTCGCGAGCGCTCATCTTGTACGCAGACCGTGCCTCTGAAAGCTCCTCGCCAAGTGCACGCATGCCCTTGGCCGCAAGCTCTTCGACTTTGCGGTGCTCGGCCTGGAACTTGTCGACCACAGCAGTGAGCTCGTCGCGGACAGCTTGGCACGCCGAACTCGTCGAGCCAGTCTGGTCCTGCACCAGCGCCATAGCCTCGTTGCGTGCCGCAGCGGCTGCCTCGTGCGCTGCTGCCACCTGCCCTGCCAGCGACTCGCGGTGGTCTTGTGCACTAGCCAGCTCGTCCTTGGCCTCTTTGAGCCGAGCCGCAAGCTCGCGGTTGTGCTGCTGCAATTCACGGATGCGATCACGCGCCGTGTTGAGCTTCTCGCTTCGCGACGCCAGTAGATCCGCCATCGACGACGACGACTGCGAGAGCTCTTCCAGCTTCTCAGTTGTATTCTCCAACTGCTGGGTGAGCAGTGCCTTGGCCAGCACCAGCTCCTCGCGCGTCGCGTTGAGCGCGCCAACCTCGTCTTGTGCCTCCTTCAGTGCAGCATTTGACGCATCAAGCGCATCCGCCAGCTGCGCTGAACGCTCGCTTTCGGCCTCGAGCGCCCGCTGGGTCTCGGCAGCGTTCGACTCCATCACTCTCACGTTGGCGTTGATCTTCTCCAGCCCCGACGCCAGCTCGTCGCGCTCCAAACTGATCTTCTTGTAGCGGGCCTTGAGCTCGTCCAATGCCTCGGCAAGGTCTTCGTTAGCCGTTTTGACCTCTTCGACCTCATCTTGCACGTTGAGTCGTGCAAGCATCATCTCGTGGAGAGCATCGCGCTCAACAATGACGTCGTCGAGATCGGCCGCAGTCGCCTCGAGCTCGGTTTGCAGACCCTCTGCAGCGTCGGCGGCAACCCGGAGCTCTTGGTTACTCGTCTCCAGCTGCGACGCATGCGCTCGCGCGCTCGCAAGCGCTCCTTCCAGCTCGGTGACCCGAGCTGTTGCGTCACCCAGCTCGCGCTCCAGTGCCGCCATCTTGGCTGCATGCACTTCTGCAGCCTGAGCCGCAAGCTCTTCGGCGCGATCGGCAGCGTCTGCCGCCGCAGCTGCGGTGGCCTCGCAGTTGGCGAGTGCGTCATCACGCTCGGCCTCGGTCGCCTCCAGCGCCGCGCGCGTCGATGATAGCTCGGTCTCACGCTCGGCAAGAGAGGCGCTCGCTGCTGTCAGGTTCGACTTGGTCTCTTCCAACTCGTCATGCAGCGCGTCGGCACCAGCCACAGCAGCAGCGAGCTTGCTCTCCAACTCGGTGCAGCGGATAGAGCTTGTCTCCAGCTTTGCAGCCTGAAGCTCAAGGTCTGCCGTCGCAGCAGCAAGATCGGCCGCCACCGCCTCACAGCGCGTGTTGCGCTCGACAAGCTCGGCCTCGAGCTCGGCCTCCTTTGCAGCCGCAGCATCGGCGTCGGCGGCAGCTTTCTCGCCAGCAGCGGCGAGCTCGGCCTTGGCCTCTTTGAGCAGGGCAGCAAGGTTCTGTGCCGCCCGCTTGTGGCCCTCTAGATGATCGATGTGCGACGCGTTGGTGGCACTCAGCTGCGCCAGTGCATCTTTTTCCAGTGCCGTCGCATTGAGGTCGGCCCGCGTCGCCTCGAGCTCCTCGGACTGGACCGAGTAGTCGATGCGCATGGCGTCCAGCTCGGCCGCAAGCGCCTCCTTTTCGTTGCGGAGCATCTCAAGCGCCAGCGCCTGCTCTCCGACCTCCTTCTCGAGGTCACCAATTGTCGTCCAGAAGCCCTGCTGCTCAGCCTGAGTCTCGGCAAGCTGGGCCTCGACCGCGGCCTTGTCCATGTCCAACGCCTCGAGAGCAGCCCGGAACGAGTCCTTCTCCTCGGCAAGAGTCCGCGCCTCCTCGCGGGCGAGCATCAGCTCGTCAGCTGTCGACGAGACCAGCTGCTGCAGCTCAGTTGACTCGCGCTGCATCTTGACCAGCTCCATCGAAAGTGACTCGCGCTCGAGCGCCACGTGCGAGAGCTCGTCCAGTTTCTCCTGCTTTTGATCGGCATCAGCCTGCAGCGAGACAAGCGACGACTCCAGCTTGGCAATGACCTTCTCCGACTCGTCCATGTGCGCCGAGAGCTGTGACTGAGTAAGCACCAGGTTGTGGTCAAGGTCGGCAGCCTCGTTGCGGGCTGCCGCAAGGAGCTGCTCCAACTCGAGCGTCCGCTGCATGAGCGAGGCCTCACGCTCCGCAGCTTCAGTGGCAGCAGCGTCAGTGTCGTGCCGGAGCGAGTCATGCTCCGACCGCAGCGTCTCGAGTGCCGACTCAGCGTCAGCCAGCTGATGTGCAAGCTCCTCATTCTGCTCCACCGTCCGCTCGAGCGTCTCGGTAGTCTTGGTGAGAACAACTTGCAAGTCAGTGGCCGTGTTGTGCAGCTCGATGAGCTGCAGTGACGCATCATCGCGCTCGAGCGCAGCCTGGGCAAGATCCTCGCGCGCCGCGGTGAGCGACGAGTTGACCGCAGCAAGCAGCTCATCCTGATGAGCGATCTTCTCCTCAAGCGAGCGTGCGAGCACCTCTGCATCGGCCTCGCCCTGAGCCTTGTTCATCTCGGACAGCTCCAGTGCGTGCTTGATCTCGACGAGCTCCTCGCGGAGCTCGGCCTCAATTCGCTGTGCCATGTTGAGCTGGTACTCAAGGTTGGCAACCTGCTCCGCGCGTTGCTGCAGCCGCTCGCGAACTGCTGTGTTCGGGTTGGCGTAGTCGCCAGCAAGCACCGGCGTCACACCCATGTCGACCAGCTGGTTCCGCAACTGCTCGTTGGCGAGCACAGTCTCCTCCAGCGAGTCGGTCATGTCACGGAGCTGCTGCTGCTGGGTAGCGAGCGTCCGCTGCAGCTCCAGGATCTGGATGCCGTCTTCAGAGTGGGTCGACTCGGAGGTATACTCGAGTTCACGGATGCGCGCCTCGAGCGCGGCATTGTGCTGCTCCAGCGTCTCCACATGCGACTGCATACCCGATGCTGCGCTAGCCTGCTCGGCAACTGACTTTTCCACCAGCGAGCGAGTGGAGTCCAGCATCTCGACCGCACGATCGCGCTCCGACGCCGCCACCTCGAGCTCCTGCTGCGCAGTGAGGAGCTGGGTCTCAAGCTCGGAAATGATGGCCTTGTACTTGGAGTACATGTTGGCCAGCTCTTCACGGACATCGTCCTGCGGCTCAGACTGGGTCATCAGCGAGAGAACCCGCTGCATGTTGGCCGCATTCTCCTGAAGCTTGGCATACTGCGCCTCGAGCGCGTTGCGCTCAGTCACGGTGTTCAGCAGCTGAGTCTGCGTCAATTCCAGCTGGCGCGCAAGCTCAGTGTCCGGAACAGCAGTCGGTGCAGCTGCACGCTCGGCGGCACGCTGTGCAGCTGCGGCCTCGGTCTGGGCGTCAACGAGCTCGATCTCGAGCTCGCGGATGCGGGCGCGCAGCTCGGCAACAAGGCTCGAAAGCGCAGCAAACGAGTCGTGGTCATCGTTACCGCCGCCGCCGCCGCCGCCGCCGCCTCCACCTCCGCCGCCGCCTCCATCGCCTCCACCGCCTCCACCACTTCCGCCGCTGCCTCCGCTCCCGCTCCCGCCACCTCGATGGGGACCGACATTCCCCGCATCGTCGCGACGGTCGCCAGCATTGTTGTTGCCGTCGCCAACTTCGTCATCGTCGTCGCCATCGTCGCCACCGCCGCTCCTGCCGCTTGTTCCGTGCGATGACTTGCCCGAGCTTGCTGCCGACTTGGCGGCCGCGCGGGCAGAATCAAGCATGGCGCGCAGGTCAACAAGATTAGACTCGAGGTCGTGAACTGTAGCCTGGGCCGAGCTCGACTCGGTGCGTGCGGCGGTGAGATCAGCGCGCAGGGCACGAGTCTGCTCGCGAGCTGCTTCAAGCGCAGTTTGGAGTGCGTCACGCTCGTCACAGGCAAGCTGCAGGTTATGAGCCGCTTGCGAGGCAGCAGTCTCTGCGTTGGCGGCCTTCTTCTCGACCTCCAACTTGGCCGAGGCGAGGGCAGCGTTGTCCTTGCGCAGCGAGGCGACTGTGGCCTCGAGATGCGCGACGCCGGCCTCACGCTGTGAGCCGTCCCACTTGAGCGTATCGAGTGAGCGCGCAAGATCATCACGCTCGGCGGTGAGGGTCCGCAGCTGGCCGCGAAGCTCATTGGCCTGGGCAGTGACAGTTGCCAGTTGTGCCTGGGTTCCCTCCAGGCGGACGACCTGGCCGCGAGCCTCGCGGGCGTCCACCACCGCAGCCTCAAGCTTGTCGGTCGTCTCGGCGAGCGACTTTTTGAGCAGCGTAAACTTGGACTTGTCGTCCTTGCGCTGCGAGCGCAGTAGCGAGATCTGGTGCTTGGCATCCGTGAGCTCGGCAGTCAAGTCCGCAATCTTGGCCTGCGCATCGGTGGCAAGGGTGTGGATCTTGTCGCGGGCAGCGTGCGCCTCGGCAATCTGCTTCTCGGCCAGCTCCTTGTGCATCATCACTTGCGCATCGCGCTCGGCCTCAATAGACGCCACTGCCGCTTCAGCCTCGGCTCGGGCAATGTCAAGCGACTTGTGCACTCCCTTGAGCTTGACAAGCTCGGCCTTGACCTCGTTCGCCTCGGCAAGCTTGGCCGCAATCTCTTGCTCTGCTTCACGCAATTTGGCCCGGGCCTCGGAAAGCTCGCCCGACGTTCGGTCCAGCTCGTCCTGGGTTGCCGCGAGCTCAGCTTGAACTTGCCCGGCGTCGGCGAGATCATCCCGCACAGCGGCCAGCTGTGTCGTGAGCTGGGCAACGCTTGTCTCCAGCTCGGCAATGTGAGCGTTACAGCGCTCGTGATCAGGTGTCGCGAATGCCGACGAAATCGAGGTTGACGACGACAATGATGAGTTGGGCGTCGCGGGAGCTGCACGCGCAGCAACTAGCTCAGCCTCGAGCTGGGCAATCTTAACGCGGCAGTCCTCACAGTCGGTAGCTGAGAGGTTTGCTGAGCGCGCGGCCGCAAGCTCGGCCTTGAGACTTGCAATCTCAGGCTCGTGGGTGCAAGCGATGCGACCGGTAGCCTCGCTCAGCTTGGTCTCGAGCGCGGCCTTGGCGTTCAGCGCAGCCGCGAGCTCAGCCTTGGCAGTGCTGAGGTCGGCGTGGGCTGCTGCAATGAGGGCATCAAAGTCCGGGCCCGGAGAGAGGTTCTCCGAGGCTGAGGCTGGGACCGACTCAAGCTCCGAGGCAAGCGCAGCGTCAACGGCAGCCGTGACCGAGGCGAGCGCGTTCTCGGCGGCAGCGAGGGCTGCGCTGCCGGCCGAGGCCTCGTCGTCGGAGAACGACGGTGAGGGCGACGACGACATATGGCGGAGCGCGTCAATCTGGTCAAGCAGAGCTTGACGGTCGCGCGTAGAGGCGGCAATGGTGGCATGGGCACCATCGAGGGACGCCGTCAGAGACGAACGCTCGGCTTCTAGCGCCGCAACCAGGGTACGGAGCTCTGAGACCTCACCCGCAGCCGAGGTCTGGACGGCGCTCAGCTGCGCCTCAAGCGCCTCGTTGGCGGCGCGGAGCTCAAGGAGCGCGGACGAGAGCTCGGAGCAGCGCGCGTCGGTCGAGTCGTCGAGCACGTTGCGCGGGGAGCGGCTTCGGCCGACGAAGCCGACGACGAGACGGTGACGACCGACGAAGCCGCCGAGATGTCGAGCGACGACGAAGCCGACGAGAGATCATCTGCCGAGTCATCGGGCGCCATTGAGGCGTCGAGCAGGGCCTGCAGCTCGGAGCGGGCCTGGTCGCGCGCATCGAGGGCTCGCGACAGGCGAGCCTGCGAGGCTGCGAGCAAGGTGTCGGTGGCATGCTTGTCCGAGGCCATGGCGGCAAGCTGGGTCTGGAAGGTCACCAGCTGAGCCTCCAGCCGGGCGTTCTCCGACTCGAGCGAGGCGTTGATCGAGTCGAGGCGGGCGATAGTGGCATCGGCCGAGGTCAGCTGGTCAACGAGCGTCTCGATGGTCTTGGTGTATGTCTCCTGCTCGTCGTCAAGCAGGCGCGAGTCGCGGAGGACGGTCTCGAGCTTGTCGACGCACTCACCACGGGCCTGAAGCAGCTCCTTGGACGGGGTAGCCGGCGGGCCCGCCCGCGGCGGGCGGGTGATGGCGTCGGCCTGTGCGCCCAGCGCGGCCGAGGCCTCGGCCAGCGAAGCCTGGAGCGCCTCCACAAGCTGGTCCTTCTCGGCCAGCCGGGCCTCCATGAACGCCAAGTCGTCGACGAGCTTGCCGACGTCACCACGGGCGACAGCAAGCTCGTCACGCAGCGCTGCGTTGGCCGCCTGCAGTCGCGACAGCTCGTCGGCGCCAGTTTGGCGCGGAACGGCGGCGCGTTTGGCCGCCACCACGGGCGCTGTCGCCCGCAGTGGCGCGTTGCTTCGGGAGCTTGCTTGCAGCACGCGCATGCTCCCCTTGGGTTGGCTGTGGTGTGGCTGGGGGGTGGAAGGTGGCTGGGTCTGGGGTGGGGTGGGGGTGCGTTGAGTGGCGGTCCCTCCGTGCTCGGCGCCTTGCGGGCGCAGGCGTGGCGCGCGATGCGCGGCGAATCAATGAATCATGTCGGGCTCAAAGTTTGTGGCGCCGCTCACTGCTGAAGGCGAGGGAAATGGCAAACAAATTGTGTGTGCGTCTATGCCGGGCCTGTGCCGCAAGCAACACACGCCCCTCGACACACCCCAGCTGCGGCCGCAGCTCTGCGTAGGCCGCGTCCTTGCCTCGTCTCACACCCCACTTCAGGCATGGCTGCGTTGGCGCTCGCATGGAGCATTTCTGTGCTGAGCTCGAGCTTGGGTGGGGGCTGGGTTGGTTGCGCGGGGCGGCGCGGGCGGTGCGCGGGGCGGCCGCGCCTGGTGCCGCTGACGGTTTGGAGCGCAGTCCTGGTGGCGTGTGCGCTTGGAGCCGATGTTGGACTCCTCACCGCTGCGACGCGGACCAATGGCGACGATGACGATCGCGGCCTGGTCTGGGGTGTGGCGCTGGTGGCAGCTGCCGGTGCGGGCATGGTGCTCGAGGGCTGGTACGCCGAGTACGCGATGGTGACTCGGGCCCCCGATCTGGGCTTTCCTGCTCGAGGCACGGCGGTGACCATTGCCTGCGCTGTGGCTGGCGGAGTTGCAGCCACAGCTGGCATGGCTTTGGCAGGGCGGGTCATGGTCTTGGGGCTGCTGGTGATTGCCGATGCAGTGACAGCTGGATGTGCGGGCGTGGTGCTTGCCAAGCTGGCGCACTGGGACGCGCCTGTGCGGGTCCGGCTGTCAGACGCAGCAATCCGGGCGTCGGCTGCGCCGATGGTTGTGGACTTTGTTGCGTCCGATGCGCTGCCGGCCGGTTTTGGCAGTTTGGGCATGAGCGCGTGCCCGGGACGGTACAAGCCGCCGGGGGTGGTGCGGGACCTGGCGGTCGATGTGGCGCACCTGAGCGGCTCACTTGGCGTCGACGTGCTAGTTACGCTCGTCCCGGTTGACGAGCTGCGACGAATGGGACTCCAGGACCTGGGAGACGTTGCACAGCGTGCAGGACTTGTATGGGAAGGCAGCGTAACGTGGCGCGACAAATGGGTCCCCACGCTTGCCGATCTCGCGCTTGCTGCCGAGACCATCGCGGTCCATCTCGCTGCCGGCCGCCGAGTAGTCGTCCACTGCAACGGTGGCAAGGGACGAACGGGACTTGCCGTGGCCGCTACTCTCCTCACCTGCGCACGCGCAAGCGCCGACAGCGCGCTCTCCCTCGACGATGCGCTCTCCGCCATGCGCGCTGAGCGCCTCGGGATGCTTCGCAACCCTGTCCAGATTGCCGCCGTGTTGGCCTTTACCTCGCGGCTGCATGCCCTACCCACTCCCGGCCTCCACGTCCACCCACGATCTCTAACCGGCTCAGCCAGTCTCAGCTCGAGATCATCGTCGTTCAGCAGCGCAAGCTCTGCCGTTTGCCACTCGGACTCGGACTCACATGGCAGCCATGATCTCTCCACCAGCCCGAGTAGCCATCCGTAGCACGTACAACCATCGCACAATCTCGAATCCGAGATGGCCGGCCGCAGCTAATTCCTTGATTTACAGCAGCAGCAGCAGCAGCAGCAGCAGCACCAGCAGCAGCAGCAGCAGCAGCAGCAGCAGCAGTGTACACCTGAGTCGGCCCGAGCCACCACCGCCCACCCACCCGCACACACACCCGACCACCCACCTCTACCCACATACGCCACTCCTCCTCAGGCGGTATCCATGGCCAGTCCTGTGGACAACAGATCCGCACTCGAGCGAGTCACCCTTGTCCACACCATCTACATTGGAGCCATCACCGTGGTCCTGGTACGCCCCTTCCCCTCCCCTTCCCTCCCCTCCCCTGTCCGTAACCTCACCCTCTCCCTCATCCTCACCCTCTCCCTCTCCCTCTCCCACAGTTCCTCCTCTCTGTCTGCATCGTCCGCTACCGCCACATGAAGCGCATGCGTGGTCTCAAGGCTATTCCCCAGAACAGAATACCCGTCGGCCGAGACGATGTACCCAAGGCACGCTCTCTGCCCATCCCCCCCCCCCCCCCTTTCCCCCTCCCCTCCCCCTCTACCCCTCCCTGCCTCCCTCAGACTCACCAGGACATGGATGATGACGTGTAGAAGCAGGCGGCGTTGATCGAGGCCACGACTCAACGGGCGATGAGTCTGTCTGCGCCGCCGGTGGTCCCTGCCGAGGGCTCGCTTGGCTGGGGCCAGCCGTCGTCGGACTTCGGCCAAGTGCACTTCAAGACCTCCATCGCGTCGAGCTTCCAAGTCCTTGAGGCTGCGGCCATGAATCGGTATCCGGTGCTGTATCGTGAGCCGTCGATGACTGTGGCCAACTATCTCGTATTTCTCCGTGAGGTCTGCTCCGGCCTCCAGCCGCAGCTCTGCGCCTGGTACGTGGCCACCTATGAGCGCGCCCGGTTCTCGACGGACGACTTTACCCTTGACGACTACAAGGCCTTTATGGATCGCTTTGTCGTCCTCATCCAGGCCATCGAGTCTCCACAGTTTGCCGTCAACGAATCGCTAATCCCACCAGAGCGGTTCCGCATGGCTGCAGTGTCGTGACGAGCGGCGCGCGCACATGCTGCAATGTATCAGCGCTTCTTGCCGCCGCCCTTCTTGCCGCCCTTGCCTCGGCCCTTGCCTCTGCCCTTGCCCTTGCCCTTGCCCTTGCCGCCGCCGGCAATCTGGACTTCGACGCCGCCGAGCATCGGCGGAATGAGGTCATTATCCTTCAGCGACTTGATGAGTGCAAGCTGGCCGGGCGTCTTCTTGGCGAGGCTCATAAAGTTAGCCACCGCTGCCCGCGCCGCCTTGCCCTTCTTCCCGTCGCCGGGCACAAGCTTGACCTTGTACTTGAACTTGGAGAAGGCTGACCACGGTCCGCACATGACCAGCGCGTACAGCAGCTCGTTGTCGCCGCCGGTCGAGTCCAGGTTCTCGTCACCCTCGCGTGACGCATCCATTGACGCCGGGTTGCCCACCAGCGTCTGCATGAGCGACACTGTCGACGCCACTTCGGACTCGACTTTCTTCCGCTGCTTCTCGTGGATGGCCTCGCGTTCGGCGTCGGTCATGGTCCGCCGCAGGTCCGTCACAATGGTTGCCGTCTCGTCGGCGGCAGAGCCGTCCGACCCGCTCCCGCTCTCTTCGTCGCCGTTGTTGTCGTCCCCGCCCTCGCTCGGCTCTCCGAGCGCCGCCGCAATGACATCTTCCGAGTGTCCCAGCTCGCGCATCCGCGCCCGCCGCTCCTCGTCGTCCTGGTCGGCATACTTGGCCATCATCTTCTTGAGCTTGTTCCGCTTCCGCCGCTTGGTCCGCTCCGACACTTCGCTGGCTGCTGTCCCATCCTGGGTTCCCGAGTCGGACGCCTCGTCGCCGCGGCTGCTCTTGTTGTTGCCGCCATCACGCGCCGCTGCCGCTGCTGCCGCCCGCTTGCTTGCCGCAAGCTCCGCCCGCAGCGTCTCCAAGTCGAGCTCGCGCCCCTCTTTCCGAGCCTTGCGCAGCAGCTTGCGCTCCTTGGCGGTGATCCGCCGCTTGCCGCCCCCCTTGCCGCCTTCCGTGCCGCTCGCGGGGATCGCCGGCCCGCGACCAGCGCCGTCGGCTCCGGCCCCAGCTCCAGCTCCAGTCGGCGTCTCGTACGCCGGCGTGTCCGGAAACAGGCCATCGTCCGAGCCCTCGTCCTCCGAGTCGTCGTCCGAGTCGTCGTCCGGGTCGCCATCATCCGCGGCAGCGGCGACAGCCTCTCCAATCGCACCATCGCCTGCCCCCAGGCATGCCACCTCGCCTGCCCCCTCGCTAGCAACTTCCGCCGACGGTCCGGCACCATCAGCCACCGTCAGCGCCGCGTGGACAGGAAGCTTAGTGCGGAACACAATGCCGTAGCCCATGACCAGAGGGTTCGGCGGCAAAAAGTTCTTCTTGCCGCGAATCATGAACGATCCGGTCGAGAGGTACTCACCCGACGGCGCAGTCTTGGAGACCTGGTGAGCATAGACCCACCAGGCCGAAGAGACAATCTTGGCTGACCACGCAGCCGAGCGCGAGACGCACGCACACCCGGCCTCGGCCAGCGTGTTGGGCGGAATGACACCGCCGCTCGGGTTCTTGATGATGAGCGATGCCGCGCCGTGGATGTCGGCGTGGACGTATATGTCGTGCTTGTCAAGGTACCGCTTGACGAGCAGCTCATTCTGGTGGGCGTCGCGGCCAGAGACGACCATAAACCGCTCCGACGACACAAACCAGTTGAACTTTTCAAACCACAGCGCCTTGCGGGTGGCCTGGATCTTGACCTTGGATTGGCCAACCTTGCCCTCGGCCTTGGCTGCCTTGGCACGCGCCCGCTTCTCGATGGCGTCCATGGCCTTGTCAAGCGCCGCGAGCGACTTGGCGTGCTTGGTCCGCGCCGCCTTGGCCTTGGCGTAGTACTCCTGTGCGTTGGCGTACGCCGACTCGGTAACGTCGATGTCGACCACCCGCGTCGCGCCCTCGTCGCCCGTCGGGTCCGGCAGCTTGAGCGCAATGGCCGACGACTCGAGCTTGAGCTTGGTGATGAGGCATGCGATTGGCTCGCCACGCCGCTGCTCTTCCTTGACAATCCGCCCGAGCTCTTCCCAATCAACAGCGTTCTCCAGCGCCGACCGGATGATGAGGATGGCCTGCTCCACTTCGTCGACTGAGACCTCGATTGCCTGTGCCTTGGCTGTGCAGTCGTCGACCTTGGCCGCCAGTCCGGCCACCCGATTGAGCTGGTCCTTTCGCGCCTTGTCGATCTTCTTCTCGGCCTTGTCACCCTTGGTCGTCTTGGTCGTCGACGCCATTGCCATCTCCTTGCACGAAAAGTATGCATCGACCGCAACATCAAACGAGGTGAACTCGATCCGCGACGCGTCCGCAAACTGCCGCCACAGATGCGGGATACAGTAGCCAGCCTTAAAGCCGGCAGGCGGAATGGCCATGCCCTCGACGTAGCTCACCACCAGCGGCGCAGCCGGATCGACTTCGTGGCCCTTCTTGGGCAGCAGAATAATGTAGCCAGGCACAACCTCGTTCGGCTCGTCTGGATCCTGCGTGTTGGAGCCCTCGACCACAAACCGCGGCGAGAGCACATCGACAATGCCGTCGGCTTCGCGACACGCCGCCGCAATCTGGGACACCCCATCGTCGGATGCCAGCACCTCTTCGGCTTCGGCCTTGCCGTCCACGCCGGCGCCGAGGAGCGCGTGCTGCGCCAGCTCCTTGCCGTACATCGACGACCGGAGCAGCAAATTGAACGGCGAGCCCGCTTCCGGCAGCAGCGCACGAATCCGCTCGTCGTCGAGCACCTCGCCCACGTTGCGGGCGCTCGCCACGTCCAGCACCTCCCGAGGCGCAATCTTGACGCCGGCCTCGGCATCCACACGCCTCCGCATCGTTGCCAGAATCACCATCTCAGAGTCCAGCAACACCACATTGCCCTGGTCATACAGCTCCACATACAGATGATGGAGTCCCTCCCGCGACGCAAACGTCAGCAGCACCACCCGGTCGATGCCCAACTGCTGAACAGCCGCCACCCGCGACTCACGCAAGTGCTTGCGCAGCTGCACTCATATTTCGCAAGCACCCCAATCCATTGCGTGATGCCCATCCCTCTCCGTAGTCAGTCGTGTTGCCGCCTGCACCACAGGTCGCCGTCAGCCGACCGCTGTCCGAGTCGGATCGAAGCTGCCGCCACCTTCCTACAACCGCCCCGCCCCGCCCCTACCCCCTAACCCCTTCCCCACCTTCCATCCACCCACACACCCATCCACGCATTCTTCCTCTTCACCCTTTACTCGTCTTCGCTCCAGTCGTCCTCTACGTACCTTGGTGACAAAGCCCGAGGGCTTGGGCGGACGGGCGCGCTCATAGGTGGTCAGGTGGAGCCGGACGCCCGACTCGACCAGCAACGAGGGCTTGCGACCACGGGCTTGGAGCTTGAACAGCAGGGTCCGCCCGGTGAGGTCGTAGATGTTCTTCACTGAACACCCGATGATCTCAGGTCCAATCATCTTGAGCATCGCTGCCACATCAAGCGCCGTGAACGTGCCCTTCATCTGGCTGGGTGCGAGGGGAGAAGAGACGAGTGGTGGCCGGCTCGGCAAGGTCGCACACAGCCTGATCAACAACCGCTATCGTCGTCACCAGCATGAAACTAGTTCACTCGCTCGGTCCTCTACTTGTTCTTAAAGTCGTCCACGCGCCGGCTCAGGACCCGTCGCTTCTTGGGGCCGGCCTTGAGCCGGTCGCCGACGGACTTGCGCGACTTGAGCACCTCCTCCATCTCGCGAGGTGACGCCGGCGGCTTGTTGCCGCCGATGGTGAGCTTGAGCTCGATAGCCTTCTTGGACGCCCGACGCGCGGCCATCCGCAGCTTGTGGGCGGCCTTGCGCTTTTTGGCGGCGTCGCGCTCGCGCTGCTGCGCGTTTTGCCGCGCCGAGAGCTGCCATTCTTGCGCAAACGAGTCGAGGATGCCAAAGAGCTCCTCCGACGGCGTCTCCTTCTCGCCGAGCTTCGCGCACAGCGCGGTGAGGCCCTTTTCTACGAGCGAGAAGAGCGGTTCGATGCGGTTGAGCTCGGTAGTAGCGCGCTCCACAAACTCGCCGAGCTTGTCCTTGAGCACGTCGGTCGCCGGCACCGTCGCCAGCTGGCTCTCCACCGCCCGCACGTCTTTGCGCAGCCGGTTGTAGTCGGCCTGGAGCACTGCCACGCCGACCTTGGATGCCTCGTTGCACCCCTCCAGCGCAGTGAGGAACGCCTTTTCCGTCCCGGGATACCGCTCTTCCACAAAAGACTGAATGTAGTGCAGCAGGTGCTGCCTCCCGTTCGCTGCCTTGGTCCCTTTCAGCTTGAGGAGCGACGCCAGCGGGAGAGCCTTGACCCACGTCTGGTTGACAAACGACGCAATGGCGAGAATGATTTCCAGCAGCTGCTCCAGTGCCTCAGACGACCGCACAGCCTCGACCGTCCGTGCGTTGAGCTCGAGCTTCTCCGAGATCTCCTGCACCTTTTCGCCAAACTCGAGCTGGAGCTGCAGTGCTGTCAGCCGCTGGTGGACGTTGGGAATGTTGGCAACAAGAACAAAGAACTGCTCGGCCTCGCCGAGCCTGGCCAACGCCTTGGCGTCGCCCTCGTTGTCTTGCATGTAGTCGTCGAGCTCGCGCTCCTCCTCCGGCGTGATCCACGCCTTGAGCAAGTCCTTGATCCGGTCTGCTGTCAGCAGGCCGTCGTCGAGGTCCATGATCGCGTCGCGGATGGCAGGCAGCGGCGCCTTGAACGACCGCAGCAAAAGGCACACGTTGTTGCTCCTCTTGTTGGAGAGAATCGCCACACGCTTCGGCGCAGCCTTGACCGCCGCCTTGGTCGACGGCGCCTTGGCCTGGAACAGCTCCTCCAGCACGTTGTAGTCGAGCCGGATGTTGCGCGGATTGAGCTTGGAGTAGAGCGAGTCCTCGACCTTGACTCCGCGCGCCATCCTTCCCAGGAAGAGCTTCCGCATCTTGACATGGGCCTTGCGCGGCGTGTTTGGCCGCCCACCGCCGCGTCCGAACCCGCCCGGTGGCGGTGGCGGTGGCGGTCCTCCACCCGGCGGCGGCGGTGGCGGAGGCGGGCCACCTCCTGGCGGCGGCGGTGGCGGAGGCGGCGGAGGTGGCCCGCCGCCACCCGGAGGTAGCGGCGGGATCGCCGGCGGCGGTCCGTCTCCGACCTGCTCGCCGACCGCTGTGGGGCCGGCAGGCCCGCCACTGCCGCCTGGCCCGCGCCCGGGAAGTCTAAACGCGCGAATGACTTTGGTCATCATCACAATGCGCTTGGCAAAGCGCCAGAACCGCGGCAGCCGCTGACGGCCGTACGTCTGCGACCGCGCGTGCTCGAGCCGCTTCTTGAGCTTGGTAATCTCAAACAACATGGCCTCGACCGATTTGGCGTACTTGCGCTTGAGCGCAGCGTACCGCTGCCTGTGCATCGTCTCCATAGTCTGCTTCGCGGAGACCATCTGCTGCTTCAGCGACTCGTTCCGCTCCTCGAGCATTCGCATCTGGTCCGGCGCGTCAGCCTCCAGCAGCGCCACCCGGTCCTCGAGCTCGCGCCGCTTGAGGTCAAACTGCGACTTTTCACGCTCGAGATCGTCCACCGACCGCGAGTACTGCAGCGCATCAAGGAGCGAGGTGAACGACTTGCCGAGCGGCATGTCCGAGGTACCCGCCAGCGATGGCGGCATCGGCGACTCACGCCCGTCGCCGTCGGCCTCGCCGGAGGGCGGCGTGGCGCTCCCGCCCGGACCCACCACCGCAATGGTCACCTCGGGCCGTGCCGCGCTCGCCGCGCTCGCCTTGGGCCGCCCCAGCATCTCGCATGCCAGGCTATCAAAGGCCTCCGAGACACGGCCCCACATGGCGTCTCCTTTGGTCCCCGATGCAGGCATGGCCACCAGCATCTGCATGAGCTTGACAAACGCGCCAAAGTGCGGCGTCGTCCGCAGATTGAACTTGAGCCGCTCCGCCACCTGGACTGGATCCGACAAGTCCATGTCGTTGAACTTGAGCCGCTTTGCATCGGCCTCTGCGTACTCGCGGTATGCGTCGATTTGCGTCGAGAGATCGATTGATCGCGTCGCGGATAGCTCCTCCAGGATCTCATCGAGCTTGAGCGCAGAGAGCTCGCGCCGGAGGTCAACCCGAGTGTTGATGTCGGTCGAGAGGTTGACGAGCGTGTTGATGAGGCAGAGGAGTTCGGCCTGCACCTCCTCAGCCTCGTGCCCACTTCGGTTTCCGTCCTCGCTCTCGGACGCATCATCAGAGACGGCAAACTTGAGCATCTTGACAAGCGTCGAGAACCGGACCTTTTCCTTCTTGAGCACCTTGAGCTCGTCAAAGCCGGTCCGGACTAGACCCCGGCCCTGCTCCGAGTAAATGGCGATGCCGGAGAGGAGCTGCGCCGCGCGGATGACTGCGTCGTTGTTGGTTGTGTCGAGCGAGGCCGTGATGATGTTGACGTAGTCCTGTGCCATGCCGGCCTCGACTCCGGGCATGGTATCAAAGAGCGTCGCCAGCGTCGAGAGCACTGCGCTCTCAGTGTCGATCTCGTCATCAGTCTTCTTCGACTTGGACGAGAGGTTGTGCAGCAGGTCGATGAGGGTGGTAAAGCCGAGCTGGTCGATGAACTCGGCGATCCACGAGTCCGGCGCCACGTCGATGGTCTCCTCCAACTCGCGCAGCGACTCGGCGTCGGCGTGGACGTTGAGCATGGTGATAAAGTACTCGGGCGGCCGCAGCCCAACCGAGACGTCGACTTGCGACGCCTCGTCGCCGCCAGGCGTCACCGCCGTCGACGAGAGCCCGCCGTCGTCTCCACCGGGAGTCAGCGGCCGCTCGGCCTCGCCGCCCGAGCTCATCGCCGGGTCCGCAATCGAGCTCAGCGACGGCGCGCCGGTCGAGAGCGAGTCGCGTGTCCGCCCAAACACAGACCCGCGCCGCCGCCGCAGAAACGCCTGCGTGCCGGACGGCGTCGACTGGAGTACAAATGAGCCGCGAGGGCCCGTCCGACTCACCGCCAGACTGCCGCTCCCCTTGGTCGGCTGGAGGCCCATCTTGGCGTCTTGCAGCTTGGCCACGGCGTCGAGCAGCGCCCGCTTCGCCGCCCGATCCTCGGGCGTCTCTACAAACGACTCGACCGCGTTTCGCACTCCGCCCACCGTCCGGTGCAGGAGCTCGGCGTGGTACCGATACTCAGCAGCGATGGCATCGTTCGGCGCCGATACTGCGCCTTTCTTGAGCAAGTTGCCGAGCGCTCTGACCGTGTTGGTGGCGTAGTGCTCGTCGGCCGAGACTCGCTCGACGTCACCGGTCGCCACCGAGATGTACATCCGCGAAATGGCGACGCCCACAGCCTGCGCCGCCTCTTGCACCGGCGCAGAGGCGTAGAGGAGCTCCTGTGCTGTCCCGCCAGTCTCGCTCGTAGATGGAGTGTTCACATCGTCGTCTCCCGAGAGACTCAGCTTGAGCCGCCGCTTGCGTGCAAAGAGCTCAGCCCGGGTCGAGCTCTCGTCCTCCGACTCCTTGCCGCTGATGGTGAGCGATCGTGAGCGGACAAGGCGCGCCCGCGCATCATCGCCGCTCCTTCGGACGCCCATGTCGTCGAGCTCCTGTCGCATGTGCCGCGGCAGTGCTGCCAGCGGCCCGAGCGACTTGGAATGCTCCAGCGTAGTCTCGCAGGAGGTGTTGCAGCCCGAGTCTGAGCTCGAGCCCGAGCCCGAGCCCGAGTTGGGCACGACCGCGATGTGTGCCATCGAAGAGAGCGCAATAACGTCCGAGGTTCCAGAGCCTGCGCCTGAGCACGAGCCTGAGCTCGAGCCTGAGTCCGAGCCGCGGAAAAACGATGACGGCTTGCGGGAGAGGACTGAGCCGAGCTCGGACTCATCGTCGTCGTCGTACGCGATTTCCAGCACCGACGGCTGGACAAAGACGCCGCGAAGTGGCGGGCACGCAAAGTACGTGACATCGTCGACGCTGCCGTTGTTCTTGCCGACCTTCTCGTCAAGCTCGACGCCGACCCACGTCCCGCGCGCAAAGTGAGTCTCGCCAATGAACCGCACCACGCCCGAAACTGCACCGAGGACACGGACCCTCGTTCCCGGCGCCATGTTGGAAATGATGACTCGTTGGCCCAGCGACGACGACGGGAGCGATGACCAGATGTCAGGGTCTGGTCGTCCATCGTGTGCCGACCGCACCACCTCAACCACGTTATCATAGTGGCCATGGCCGTGCGCCGGGAGCGGCTCGTGCGACGCTGCGCCCGTCGGCGACGCACTGGCGCCGCGTGGAAGCAACGGCCGGAACTGGATTCGGTGCCGAAGCGCATGGGCTGCGGGAGGCAGCGACGTCGCTCGGTTGCTGGGTCTACTCGATCGAGCCGGCTCGCCCACCCGGGCCGGCGAGTCGAGCGTCGCCGGCCGGTTCTGGCGTGAAGCTCCACGGCGCACGTTCTTGAGTGCAGACCCTTCTGGCTCGCGGACTCGCGGCTCACCGCCAGGTGACCGGCGTGAACGCGACCGTCGGCGCGAGCCCGAACGTGACCCCGATCGCGAGCTGGGCCGATCGACGGCCCGCGGGCGGGCACGTGTCTGTGGCTGCGGCTGTGACCTGCTCGTCTTTCCGGAGAGCTGGGCGAGCAGCGCCGAGTTGTCATCGGAGAGGGTGTAGTCTGTCGGAATGGCGTAGCGATTGCGGGCAAGAGCGACGTTCTCCGGGCGGACAAAGACACCGCAGCGGCGCGGGCAGCGAAAGTAGCGGGCGTTGACGTCCTTGCCGTCGCAATTGCCAAGCGGTGCCGCCAGCTCCAGGCCGAGAAACACACCTTCTCGGAAGGCCGCGGTCCGACATAGCGAACAAGGCCCACCACCGACTCGCCACGGAGGCGGACCTCGACGGCAGCGCCCACCGATGGGGTCTTGCGGGCCGCCGCCCGTGCCCTGGCCAGGGTGGCGGCGTAGTAGGCTTCACCCGCCCCCGTAGCAGCAGCAGCAGCAGCAGCATCAGCCATGTGCCCCCGCCCCTGTTCCACTCGGTTTCCCTCCAACAGGTATCCAAGGGCACGGTCGTGGGGCGTGGAATGGGTGAGGTGAAGTGTTGCTGGTACGTAAGGGGGGGGGGGGAGGGGGGAAGGTCAACCATACCGTCGCCGTGGGCCGCCCCTGCCGCAACGGGTCGAACAACCAAAGCCCACCCCCACACACTCCCCTGACACAGCCACTCAACAAACCAATGAACAACATGCGCAAATGGCAAAGATGACATGCCACCCGCCAGCCCACCACCAATAACCCTCGGCAGCGGGGGGGGGGCGGCGTTGGCGCGGAGCCAT